TGAGGCAGAGCCATTTAATCCATCCCACTCACTTCACATGTATTAGATCAATGTATCAGATCAATAGACTTCTAACGTGTTGGTATCCAATAGGCCGAGCCATCCTGGCCATTGTTGTAAGGGCCAAATCTGATGATTTATATACTTTTAATAGTTGGAACTTTTCTGTGTGTGATAAAGAGACGATTTCTCCTGATATACAGACGGAACAGAGTGATACAGTCAAATATTATTACTCCTGATACTTCCCCCACAAAATGTCTGGTTTTTAAAATTGTAACATAATTAATGAAATATGCTGTAATTAAATGATTTCAGAAGTATTTAGGGGTTGAGATTATCGATACACGGGATGTAGGTCATTTCATGTAATTAATGATAAACTAATTTTAAAAGATCATACAACATTTATTTTTCCTTACAGAGTTAGCCTCTGTTTTTTCAAGTCTTCTGTCAATGTCGGCAAATTAGAAGTTAACAAGAGGCCCAGAGGGCCTGTATTGCTCACCTGTTTCTTTTGTTACATGCAACTGACATATAGGTAACTTAAGACCAAATTTGGTAACTAGAACACAAGACATTTTAACATCTCTTAAACGGTTCTGAAGATATTGTTGTTTGAAACTTAAAATTTTGATTTTAAAGCTTTTAACCCATATTGACCTTTGAATTCCGATTTGCACTTAAAGTTGACCTTTGACCTCATTACTGTAATGAAGAAAACAATTTGCACAGCTGGTCTACCTAACATACCTAAGTATCATGACTAGTCCAAATGGTTCTTAGGATATTGTTGTTTGAAGTTTTTAACATATTTGACCCCTGTGACCTTGAAAGTAGGTCAAGGTAATTTTAATGAGGAAACTTTATAGCACTCAATCCCAGGCACCTACTGGCTAAATATCATGACCCTAAGCCTAATGGAACATGAGAAGGAGATCGTTTAAGCTTTTGACCAAAGTTGACATTTGACCCCTGACTAGCATTAAAAGTTGACCTTTGACCTCATAACTGCAATTGAAAAAAAAAATTGCACTGCTAATCTACATAACATACACAAGTATCACGACTCTAGTTGGAACGGTTCTTAGGATATTGTTGTTTGAAATTTATAACATATTTAACCGCTGTGACCTTGAAAGTAGGTCAAGGTAATTTTAATGAGGACATTTTTAGCACTACATCCCAGTTACCTACTGGCCAAATATCATGACCCTGGACCTTATGGAACTTGAGAAGAAGATTGTTAAAGCTTTTAACCAAAGTTGACATTTGACCCCCGACTAGCATTTAAAGTTGACCTTTGACCTCATAACTGTAATTGAAAAAAATATTCGCACTGCTGGTCTACATAACATACCCAAGTATCATGACTCTAGTTGAAATGGCTCTTGGGATATTGTTGTTTGAATTTTTTAACATATTTGACCGCTGTGACCTTGAAAGTAGGTCAAGGTCATTTTAATGAGGAAACTTTATAGCACTCCATCCCAGGTACCTACTGACCAAAATATCATGACCCTAGGTCCTACAGTTCTTCAGAAGAAGTCGTTCAAAAGAAAAAGTTGACGAACGGACAACGGACTACGGACGACGAACGCCGCAGTACGGCATAAGCTCACATGTTCGGGCCATGTGAACTAAAAATTTGAAGATGGAGTTGCAATAGTGATGTGGACTGGACTTCTGGCAGTAGTACGTACCTTGCTGGTTACCATGTATATAATGTGGACGGGAATTCTGCCAGTATTACTTACCTTGCTGGGTACCATGTATATAATGTCGACGGGACTTCTGCCAGTAGTACCTACCTTGCTGGGTAGTACCTACCTTGCTGGGTACCATGTATATAATGTCGACGGGACTTCTGCCAGTATTACTTACCTTGCTGGGTACCATGTATATAATGTACCACATTAGGTAGCCAGTGATGTGGGGTTTATTTTGAAATATATATTGCAATGAAATTAATTGGGGTTTTTGTTCTACGAATATATATTCAATTTATAGCTAAGTACCTACCTTGCTGGGTACCATGTATATAATGTGGACTGGCTTTCTGCCAGTAGTACTTACCTTGCTGGGTACCATGTATATAATTTCGACGGGAATTCTGCCAGTAGTACTTACCTTGCTGGGAACCATGTATATAATGTGGACTGGCTTTCTGCCAGTAGTACTTACCTTGCTGGGTACCATGTATATAAGGTGGACAGGAGTTCTGCCAGTAGTACCTACCTTGCTGGGTACCATGTATATAATGTGGACGTTGCTTCTGCCAGTAGTACTTACCTTGCTGGGTACCATGCATATAATGTGGACGGGAATTCTGCCAGTAGTACTTACCTTGCTGGGAACCATGTATATAATGTGGACTGGCTTTCTGCCAGTAGTACTTACCTTGCTGGGTACCATGCATATAATGTGGACGGGAATTCTGCCAGTAGTACTTACCTTGCTGGCTACCATGTATATAATGTGGACAGGACTTCTGCCAGTAGTACCTACCTTGCTGGGTTCCATGTATATAATGTGGACGGGACTTCTGCCAGTAGTTCCTACCTTGCTGGGTACCATGTATATAATGTCGACTGGACTTCTGCCAGTAGTACCTACCTTGCTGGGTTCCATGTATATAATGTGGACGGGACTTCTGCCAGTATTACTTACCTTGCTGGGTACCATGTATATAATGTGAACGGGACTTCTGCCAGTAGTACCTACCTTGCTGGGTTCCATGTATATAATGTGGACGGGAATTCTGCCAGTATTACTTACCTTGCTGGGTACCATGTATATAATGTACCACATTAGGTAGCCAGTGATGTGGGTTTTATTTTGAAATATATATTGCAATGGAATTAATTGGGGTTTTTGTTCTACGAATATATATTCAATTTATAGCTAAGTACCTACCTTGCTGGGTACCATGTATATAATGTGAACGGGACTTCTGCCAGTAGTACTTACCTTGCTGGCTACCATGTATATAATGTGGACTGGACTTCTGGCAGTAGTACTTACCTTGCTGGGTACCATGTATATAATGTACCACATTAGGTAGCCAGTGATGTGGGTTTTATTTTGAAATATATATTGCAATGAAATTAATTGGGGTTTTTGTTCTACGAATATATATTCAATTTATAGCTAAATGTGAATCTAATGATATATGATGATAATGAACAAGAAGATGCCGTCATCTATATCCACTGCTCATAGTGTACAAGTCAATATAAAAAACATCTAATTGTTGGTCACCAAGTCATCCAAGCGTGAAATGTAGGTCAAATTCAGCATCCACAAATGCAATCAGTAGAGTCACCCCAGGTGTATCAATCAGGAAAGTATTGAAGGTGTAGCAGTGGTATGGTATTCATGGACGAGACCAATTCTTCTTAACCGGACGCACACGTGGACGGACAGACCCCACTTGTATTACCCCGCTAATTTTGTTGAGTGGGAAACAATATTAAGCAATATGAAATTGCCAGTTTCTGTCCTGTATAGATTAACCAATTATTACTTGGGAAGTCCATTGTTAAGGACAAACCAGTGCTAACTGATAATCAATTATAGAAGATTTTCAGCTGATTTCCCATCACCAGTTAGGACTGTACATTCCTTGTGTATATATATATATGTAGTAGAGCTGGCCTATACCGGCTCGATGCCAGTGACCAGACAACTTAGTAATTATAGAGTGTCCATTTAGACTTTGGAGGTCCCAAAATGGATTAAAACAATTATAAGATCTTTCAACGAGTCTAATTTACAATATGGCCTTGCATTGATATGCATGTGCGATATGGTGAGAATACAAATGTTATAATAGTCATACATCAAATAACACTGAGTAAACATGCTTTCATATTCACTGTATAATTCGTTCAGATAATTCTTTTCAAAAACATCTACTGTGACTGCATGCATTTCTAACACTGGTGTTTAATTCATTCCACAACACAGAGCTATATTGCATACATGTAAAAACTCTCTTAAAAATAACTTGTTCAGCGTGGCTAAAGGTACATAACGTTTATTTGCAGATGATGCTCTTGTGTTAAACACCTGGAATGTCACACTTTTTAATTCTGTATGTCAAAAAGTGCTTTTCTAAAATTATGAAAATCAAATACAGGCATCCATCTTAGGCTTTTGAAAGAGTTCAAGTTCTTCATTCGGAGTCAAGATCTTTCTAATACTGAGTAAAATTCTAGCTGCTCATTCTGAGACGTATATATAATAGGATTTAAATGATTGCCTGGTCCAATGCATTTATCTGCTGTTTCAGTGGTGTCTATGACCATGCAACCCTGTATTGTTTAACCCTTGGCATGGGGATTGCTACTCAAACCTGGATTGCAAATAGGTTAATTGAGATAGGGGTGTTGCAGAGCTTGATTGGGTTCATCGGCAGTGACCAGGTAGCTCATGATTTTAGCCATCTACAACTAGATATGGGTCGACCATTTTGGGCGGAGGTCCTGTGGATCTGTCTGGCCCGTTTCATTTTCCCTGTCCTATTACATACACATTTGGTTCTAGAATCTAATTTTCTGACACCAGTGACTAACCCACCGACGCTACCTTTACTAGCAGCTGCTATTTCAGGAGGGTGATGCTGTGTGTATCACAACAATCAATGACAACAATAGGCCTACTGTATCTGTTACGGTGATACACCTGGCATTGTGTCACATGTAAACACATGTGGTTTAAAACTATCATAAGCATATAACTAAGATTACACCAGCTATGTTTTAGAAAGATGTAAACATTTAAGATCGTAGTTTAAACTCGAGATACAAATAACCAGTACAGAATGAAGCCATATCGATCGATACTGAATCAAGTCGTGTTACATTTACCAGATGTCTGTCGCCTTGCTGATGGCGACACAGCTTCCAGGAGGAACTTCAACGGTCGTGGAATGAGGAAATATTTACGGAAAGACTCCAGAAAGGCAGGAAATAGCCAATGTAAACATAAATACATACCCAAACTATCCCGGGAAACGTCGGCTGCTTGCTCGCTACTTGTCACTTCTCTTCCGGAAACTGATTATCAACAAAAGTCTATATCTATGAGCATGCGCATTGCATATGACAGGCGCCACAGGGACTTTCCTTGGCATGCAGTGTTTTATTGACCAGTAGTCAGTACTGAGGACAATCTACTCATCGATACATTAATAAACATTGTACAGAGGGGTTAAATGAGATACTTTAATTCAACTTATGAAATGTGCTGCATTTTATCAGAGGCGTATAGATTATATCTATAAGTACTCTGAGTATACCGCTGTTACCATGAACGTTTCTGATTTTATGGCGATTTCTACTTTTACCATTACGCGGCCACCATAAATAAACTGATTATTCTGCCACTTTTGGATGAAAGAGAGAATTTTGCTATACATTCTATATACAGTGAGATTAAAATAAAACATCCTGGACGGTGGTCTAGATCGTCTCACGTAGGTGAGTCTTGAAACATTCAAGACTACCCGCTGCACTGGTGGCGGCTTGTGGTAGTACGTATACGTTCCAGTCTCTAATTGTTCTTGGATAAAACGACTCTTTCATTACTTCTGTTCTACACTATGGTACTTGGAAACCGTTGATGTTTATGTTGCGGGATAGTCTGTCTGGTGGGGTGAGATTGTTTTCTGTGTCGACATTGACCATCCCGTTGGCAAGTCAGTTGTACATCATTGTGAGTCTTGATACTTTCCTTCGACCTTCAAGGGTTTTCCATTCGAGTTGGTTAAGCATGTCACTAACAGATGAGGTGTTGTGATATCTGTTAGTGACGTATCTTGCTGTTCTTCTTTGTACCATTTCCAGCCAGTGTTTGTTATTCTGCTGGAAAGGGTCCCAGACTGTGCATACATACTCCAAGGTTGGTCTAATCAGAGACGTCTATAACTAGAGATTTGTATGCAGTGTCCTTTATGGTGGTGTTGTTGATATTAAGGTACCGATTTAGAAATCCAACGGTCTTATTTGCCTTGTTACGTATGTTTTTGATACGGTCGTTCCATTTCATGTCTGAACTGATTGTACAACCTAGATATCTTGCAGACTTTACAGATTGAAGGGTGTGGCCATGCAATACCGAGCTGACGTGCAAGGCTTATTTATATGTAGGCTCTGGGCTAACGTTGGAGAAACCCAGCGACGTCAAGTAAAATGTATTTATATGTACCATAGTTAAAATCATGATAACACTACAACCGACTATGAAACATGAAAATCAGAAAAACGTTGTAATATTTAAGAGAAAAAATAACTTGAGATTGTTACTTTTCTCACGAAATCAGATAATCTAATTCCGTGCTTTTATAAGCGAAATTAAAATATAAACCTGTGTGTGTTTCAAGAATATATAAAACAGAAATTTTAATTTTTAATTTTGGTTTATGACAGTGAGTCCACCTCTGTCTCAGAAATGATCTGTACATATAACAGTATAAAATATATTGGCGATATTAGGATACTGAAGACATCATAAGATCATTCTGGAAACACTAAATCACAAGTGACGCACACATTTTTGGCCGATTTGTTACATGTCTTCTTCTTCTTTAGTTATCCAATCCTCTTTCAATCATTTGAAGATTACGGACTGCTGTGTGTGCTGTACAATGCGTGGATTTAAAAACAATGAGGTTAAAACTATATATACATATGGAGTGGTACTTAGAGGAATGTAACGAGTACAGCTGGCTGGAGTTATATTAGCTGTACTAGGAATACATCAACGGATGGAGACATCACCACAGTGGGTGGGAGAAGATTCTACTGGGTGATTGTTAGAGGGAAGAAAGAAGAATGTGTCTGAAGGAGAGAGAGAGTGGTTTTGACGAGTTCGATAGTTGGTATGAGAATGGAGGAACTGGGGATGGCGACTAGGTTATGCACTGTCTTATACATAAGAATGAGGCGGGCCTTAAGGCGTCGTTCTGCGAGTGTTGGCCACTGTAGTGTGCTTAACATGTCAGAGACACTGCTGGTATTGTGATACCTATTGCAGGTATACCTGGCAGCGCATCTCTGTACCATTTCAAGTTTGGATATTGATGATGTGTGTGGGTCCCACAGGGTACAGCCGTATTCTAATTTAGGGCTGACGTGTGACAGATAGGCTTTACTTTTAATGCCATTGTTTCCTGTTTTGAGATTTCTTTTCAAAAAGCCTAAAGATCTATTTGCTGCAGTGGCTGTATTTTCTATATGTTTGGACCATTTTAATCAGATTGAAGTGTGACTCCCAGGTATTTAGCTGAAGTGACAGTCTCTAGGGTTTGCCCGTTGAGAACGTATTTATGAGAAAAAGGATGTTTTTTTGATGATATAGTCATAACTGTACACTTGTCAGGATGGAATGCCATTAGCCAGTCTCTTTCCCATTTGGCTGCAGCGTCAATATCTTGTTGTAAAAGCATGCAGTCATGGTCAGATCTTATTTCTTTATAAATAATACTATCGTCCGCAAACAGTCTGAGTGTGTTATGGTTGAGGTATTCCGGGAAGTCATTTATATAAATAAGAAAAAGAATTGGTCCTAGGACTGTACCCTGGGGTACGCCAGATGTGACAGGGGCTGTATTGGAGGATTCACCATCTAGTATGACTTGTTGTGTTCTATGAGAGAGGAAAGCCGAAATCCAGTTTAGTGTTTTGTTCCGAATACCATAAAAATTTAGTTTGTATAGGAGACGTTTGTGTGGGACTTTATCAAAAGCTTTAGCGAAATCCATAATTATTAAGTCGGTTTGAATATTTTTATTGTGTGATTGCGAAAGTTCGTGGACAAATGACTGAAGTTGAGATTCGCAGGAGCGTGCTTTTCTAAAACCATGTTGTAAATCATAAAGTATGTTGTGTTTTTCCAGGTGTTTCATGGTGTGGCTAGTTACTACATGTTCCAAAATTTTACAACAGATACAAATTAATGAAATGGGTCGATAATTTTCGGGTTTGTATTGCTCTCCCTTTTTGTAAATTGGTGCCACATTTTCATGTTTCCAATCCTGAGGAACTTGGCCTGAATTTACTGATTTATTAAAGATGATAGTGAAGGCACAAAGATAGCTGTTTGATTGGTCCCAGGTAAAACAACTGACCAATCGCTAGGCTGATACCTGTCCTTTGAAGACTACAAAGGAGAGATCCCCGACTTCAAAGCCTGTCAATTTTTACCGTTACGTGACCGCGAGATTCTTTTGATGTATATCAACGGATCGAACTAGTCTTCTTCGAGCCTTCAATTTTGCCATGACACATTCCAGGGGTGTAGAGAGCGAACGTGAGCGTAACCCCTGGAAATCGAGGATGGCGATATCCAGGGGTTACGCTCACTTTCGCTCTCTACCCCCCTGGAATATGTCATAGCAAAATTGAAGGCACAAAGATAGCTGTTTGATTGGTCCCAGGTAAAACAACTGACCAATCGCTAGGCTGATACCTGTCCTTTGAAGACTACAAAGGAGAGACGCCCGACTTCAAAGCCTGTCAATTCTTACCGTTACGTGACCGCGAGATTCTTTTGATGTATATCAAAGGACCGAACTAGTCACCTTGTCTCATCAACAAGGTGGCACACACTAAACCTTCAATTTCGGTATGACATATTCCAGGGGTGTAGAGAACGAAAGTGAGCGTAACCCCTGGATATCGAGGATGAAGTAAGCGTAACCCCTGGATATGAGGATGATATGGAACACTAGCTGATTTTTGTAATAGCGTCTCATAGCTAGAGTGATAATCCTGTCAATGTTAGAGCTCTGTAGTCGACTTCCTCGAGCTTCTCAGAACTTCAATTGTTGCAAAATTGCCACACTAATGGGCAAAAATACAATGTACAATACAATTACGTTGTAAACTGCCTTTCTCCCTTTGTAACAAATGTAGGAAATGTTTTAATAAATTTAGCAAATAATCAATTTCCATCCCCAAAAGTTTGACTAATTCCTCACATTTCATGTCGGTTTTTCCTATAGAGAAGATTGGTTTCTGGTCAAAAAAAATATACCCTAACGCAAGTGCTTGAAATTAATCTTTGTATTCTTGCATGCGGTTATCATCAAACCATTCAGTTAGTTTTAGACTTTCTCTTTTAAGAGTTTGTTTCATAACTTGGTAACATGAGTGAGCATATGAAAGCGTGTTGTCGTCTGTATAATTTAGAAGGGTAGTGTCATTTGTTGAGTAAAATATATCATTTATTAAAAAAGTTTTTTTTAAAACAGGGACCTAGGATAGATCCCTGAGGTCCTTCCTTTACAGGATTCTCATAACTGATACAAGAATCTCTATTTTTTCACACTGCTTCCGGTTTGATAGGTAACTCTCAATTAGTTTTATAGCGTGTTCTGTCAGACCATATGATCTAAGCTTGGCCAGGATGATATGATGTGGTAGGCAGTCGAAAGCCTTGAACAAGTCCATCAGTCATAATCACATAATCATTCCTGTCCAAGGCTCTCCGCCACCCCTCAGTAATGAACATAAGGGCTGACTGACAGCTCTATCCTCTCCGGAAAGCTGAGACAACGGATGGAAAATACTCTCAAAGAAACCATTCAATTGTTCTGAAATGGCTCTTTCGAAGAGTTTAAACCCGGATTGTAAAATGCTTACTGGTCTGTAGTTACCTTTGCTGAGGGAATCTTTTTCTTGTAGGTAGGTGTGACCCTGACAAGTTCTAGTTTGTCAGGGAAGGATCCGTCAGTCCAGTTCTATGTATAAGGTAGTGTTTGGTCAAAGTAGTTCACCTTTTGTTATATTCTAGGGGGTGTGATGTCGACTCCTGTCGCCTCTCTGGGTCCAACCTTATCCAAATACTTAGCTATATCACTTTCTCTATCGTGCTTGAAAGAGAAAGAATATGTTTGTGTTTGTTGATTTTCGTGTATAGCTATGATACTTGGGTGGCTGCATCCAGAAATGCGAGAGGAATTTCCAACATTCTCTGCTATATTTACAAAGAAATCACTAACAATGTCACGAACGTTGCCTGCGAAAAGCTGGTGACACATAGGTATTGCTATGTCGGCGTCGGTGTC